GAGCATAGCTGGCTGACCCTGAGGTTGAGGACAAGTTTTCCAACAGGAAGAAGGAGGAAATCTTCGCCAGGGGAGTTGTGTGTACCCGGGAGGGCATCTTTTTCTAATCCCTACAAAGCTCTTCCATTCCTAAAAGAAAATCCATAAAGAAAGGGCCATCCCACCCTGCAGGGCACCTTTGCGCAAATCAGAAAATGGCTACTCTGCAGGCATCCTGGTGTGGCACACACTTTGGAGGTAACGGTGCAGCACGTGAGGGGCCATGGCTTGGTGGGCAGGAGTTCCAAGCTTTTCGTGGAACTTCCAGATTCACTCCTTGTGGTTCAGGAGAGAGGTTCAACTGGAAGCTGCCAATCTTCCCCACTTCACTGTGAGCCAGTTTTAGAATCTATCCTGTGCTTTGGGAGAGGACTGGGGGCAGAACCAAGAGAGGCCACTGAAGGAGAGCAATTGTGCCCAGGGCAGCCTGAGCCTGGAGCGGGGCAGTGAGGAGAGTGCAGGGAGTGGACATCTGGAGGCTGGAGGCCAGGTGGGGTCTGCCAGGACCCAGCTGAGGATGCTCATGGGTGGGCTTCCAACTGGGAAGATGAGAAGATAACAGCAAATGAGGAGGTCTGACTGAGGCTGACCATGAATCACCATTGAGAATAAACCAGACTAAGCAAGCCCTGGGGAAGGAGCCAGTGTGGGCAGATGGGGTCAGTTCCTCCGAAGCCAGCCTGTCTGTACTTCTGGTTCTGCGTTTATTTCCCTTCTACTGTCTCTAACATTCAGTAAAAGTTTTCCCAAAGTCCCACCCTGCTTCAGCTTATCCGAGTAATAAGGAGTGGAGTGTTGGGCCATGGAGGAGGCAAGGGAACAGAGGGAGAATTGAGGCTCATGGGTGCTACTGGCTTTCCCTGCCCACAGCTGGGAAGATGTTATTCCAGGTCGCTCCCTACCCTCAGGAATATCTCTCTCAGGGTGCTCTGCCACCCAGTATCAACCCAGGAGAAATGTAAAATTTATGTGGTAGAATTCCAGTTGTGTTTAAAACAAGACACACACACACACACACACACACACACACACACACACACACACACACATGGATCCAGGTCTCTTTCTTAAAATATTGGCCAGAAACACCCGAAATATCAGCAGTTACTATATATCTAGGTTCTTGGGTTGTTGGATACAGCCTAGTTTTAATTTTTTAGGTACTTTTCCAAAATTGAAGATGTTTCTAATTCATTTTTCCATCAGATAAAACCCTACGCTTTGCCTTTGAGATTTAATTTCTAGAACTGGTTCAGAACAGAATGCTAAGGTTAGCTTCAGGGCCAGTGACTGGGGACTTCCTCTAGTCCTTGACTGATCACGTGCAAGTGTGTGTTTCCCATTTCTTTTCTTTACGTAAGACACCAGATTTTCATGGCGAGGAATTTTAGCCAAGATTTCTCCAGTCTGTCCCCCCACCCCATCCTTGCAACCTCATTGGTTCTTTGATAAGAACTTTTTCCTGAGGTCTTATGCAGACTTAATTTAAGGCATCAATTTTTATCACACTTTTTAAGCTTAAGGTTAAAAATAAAATATCTCACGTAATCCCCAAGGAAAATCAGTTCTGTCCTATCTCATTGCTAATTCATAAAGGGCCTTTGACTGTTCAAATAGAAGAGTGTGAAAATTCAATGGATATTTCCAAAATTATTTCTTAAAGGAGTTTAATACTCCATCTTTGGCAACTGTGTGGCTCTGACCAGTTAAACTTAACCTAATGGAGATAAATTTGATTTTGCACGAATTAGAGCAACATTTGCAAAGCTCTTGACAAACTGTTTCATTCATACTCAGTTCCAGGATCTTTTGCTTTCCTTTTGAGGTTGGGAAGAAAAGGGTTTCAACCACACATTTCAGGCAAATGTGTTACACGCTTTAATGTGGAGGGAGCATAAGTTGTTATTATGATAACATTAATAACACTTTTCATGTATTACAGTTTAGTTGACATTTAATCCTAATTGAGAAAAATCTAAAATTAATCTTTGTAAGAAACAAGACCAGAGTGGCTAATCAGGTTTGGAAGTGGGACTAATTGTACCATCATCAGATTGATGGGCTGTTGAATATCTGATGTGAAAACCATGTCATGAAATGATAAGAAAGAATCTGTACAAAAGTCCTCTTCAATTTTTCCCTTATCCTTTATTTTGCAGTTTATTCAAAAGGCTTATTTCTTCAGCTTTAAAGCACAGATCCAAGATTCCTACCAGCTGGTTACTTTTATTTTTCAGTCAGCTCAGCTTTCATGAGAGAGATGCAAACAGAGACCACCCCCACCCCGCCTCCCCCAAATATCTTTCTTTATCACCTATAAGATGCTATAGTGGCCGAAACCGGTTTGGCTCAGTGGATAGAGCGTCGGCCTGCAGACTCACGGGTCCCGGGTTCGGTTCCGGTCAAGGGCATGTGCCTTGGTTGTGGGCATATCCCCAGTAGAGGGTGTGCAGGAGGCAGCCGATGGATGTTTCTCTCATCGATGTTTCTAACTCTCTGTCTCTCTCCCTTCCTCTCTGTAAAAATCAATAAAATATATTAAAAAAAAAGATGCTATAGTGATGCTGGGTTGGGGACTGAAGGCCTGACTGATTCTGGTGTTTTGGATTTAATTTTTGAATCCACTTATGTTTAAATTGCTGCTTATATGGGGTGTGGAGGGAGAGACACAGCAGATATGGGACTGGGAACTTGGCAGAATGGGATAGGGCTGAACAGCAATAATTAGGCCTTTCACCAAGGTGAAATCCCTCCCAGCATTCCTCCCCTAGGAGCCTGCCAGGTCAGGGCACTGGTCCTTAGGATCCCCCAGCCCCATGAAGGTTCTGGGGGTGATGCCAGACATGAAACAGTTCAATTTTTGTCTTTGGTCTGTAAGAAGCAGACAAAGGTAGATGTTCCATGGAGGGACTCACAAGACCACTCAAACCCATGAAAAAGGTGGTCAATGCCATCAATCTGATGATGCTGATGAAGTCAACCATCCCGTGTCCCCTGCTCCAGAGTCCGTTTCAGACCAGACTGTTGAAGTTGAAAGGTTGTAACTTCTGATTCAAGTTTTAGAACAATATTGAGGGATTTGGTATCAAGTTACAGAGCTATCTAAGTACCCAGACTCCATCTTTGGGTACGGGATTTGAGGCTGAAGGTAGTGAAAGCAGTCAGAAGGGATCAGAGATGAACTTAGACAAGAAGTAGGGTTCTTGGGGCAGTAGAAACATAGGAAAGTCTAACCCAGAGGATAGTTCTGCACATTTGTACATGCAAAATATACATGCTGGAAACGTCCGAAGGTGATGTAACTTTTATTTGGGATAGGGGAGAAAGGCACACATTAATTCCATGGGATTTAAACCACATAAATTCTACTCCTCACTACCCTTCTTCCCCAGAAGATAAAAAATGAGATGGAGGGCACATTTTAAGCCAGAATTTTGAAGGAGATTTAAGGAACAACAACGAAAACCAACAACACCCATTAGCTGGGCAGCAGGATCCCTGGGAATACTGCTGTCTAGACTCTAGATCTTCTCTTAGCAAGAAATCAGCTGCACTGCTGAGCTTCTCTGGCCTCCTGGCAGGAGAATTCCTCCCAATTGATCCCCCACTCCCTTCCCAGCACCCCTCTCAGCCCAATGGGTTCTCACTACCTGGAGCCAGCTTCCATGGCTGCTCAGGACCTGCCTTGTTCTGCAGGTGGGGGTTTCTGCCTTGAAAGTGTTTTGCTTTCTAGGATCTAGGAGAAGACAGAGGTGGAAGGTCCCAGCAAAGGTGTAGTGTCTCTGACCTCGTTGGCCAGCCTTGGCTCTCTCAACCCTGGGCTCCGGGCCCAGCCCACCAGGACCTCTTTCCACACTGCCCTTCTGGCCTCTCACTCATACCTCAACCCCAAGGGCAGGTCAGCAAAGGAACTTTATTTGCAAATCATCTCTGCAGAAGAGGGATGAAGAGCAGGTGACATAAATGCTCAGGGGTGGCTTCGGCAGACAGCAGAAGCTCTGGTTAGATAATTGGAGACGATTGATTCTGGCCAAACCCTGTTCCCCAATGCATTGTCATGGCACTTGTTTCTTTCATGTAGCTGAATGACTCAATGAGGACTTTATTATTATTTTTTCAGTCCTCACCTGAGGATATTTTCCCAATGATTTTAGAGAGAGTGGAAGAGAGAGGAAAAGACAGAGAGTAGTATCGATGTGAGAGAAACTCATCAGTTGGTTGCCTCCCTGTACGAACCTGACCAGGGCCCCGGCTGGGGAGGAGCCTGCAGCAGAGGTATGGGCAAAAGGCACAGAATACAGGCTACAGTTGTTTCCACCCTGAAGCAACCAAATCAGGAAGTTCTCAAAGAAGTTATTTCAAAAGCAGTGTTGGGAATTTGGAGCATGGGACTGAACTCCTGGCTAGACTTGTTCAAGAAGGGCTCTCGCACGAGCCTGGCCAGCGCCCCGGCTGGGGAGGAGCCTGCAGCAGAGGTATGGGCAAAAGGCACAGAATACAGGCTACAGTTGTTTCCACCCTGAAGCAACCAAATCAGGAAGTTCTCAAAGAAGTTATTTCAAAAGCAGTGTTGGGAATTTGGAGCATGGGACTGAACTCCTGGCTAGACTTGTTCAAGAAGGGCTCTCGGCTTCTAATTCCAGGTCGGCCTAGTGTGAAACAATTCTAATTATTAAAAAAAAAAGGCAATAATTTTTCCCATGCTCCTGACCGGAATCAAACCCGGGACACTTCAGCCACTGAGCCAAACCGGCTAGGGCTCAATGAGGACTTTTAAAAATGGTTTGGAAACATTTAAAGGGAATAAGTATCTGTTATACAAAATAAAGCACATGGAAGCAGATAAGAAATCCATTCACCTTTTCTCCTCAGCCCATCCTTCTCCCCTGAGGAAGACACTGCTGGCATTTAGAACGAGTCCCCTCAGGCCTTATTCTGTGTAATGTGAGTGAATAGCAATTGGGTCTTTGAGTGCTGAACTTTATATCCACAGACGCAGACTCCAGAAACTTCTTGGACAACCAGAATATGCCATTGTGTTATTACTACCAAGGTCTGTAGACAATGAAGATGAAATGCTCAGAATAGGCCTCAGAAGGCAATGGAGACCCTGCGGGCTCAAGAGAAACGCTTACCTCTCCCTTAAAGAATCTAAATTGGGGCCTTGCTCATAATAAGAATTACCACCAGAAATAACTTTTTATGACTTAGCTATAGGGTAGGGCAAGCTTCTAATTACTGAACATGTGCTCTTCTTATCGTCCTTTGAATGACCTTCCTCCCCTCTGAAGCCCTACGGTTCTTTCTTACCTCATTCCTTGGCTCAAGGTGCCATATGGATTTCATTTTCCCTTTCTGTCTCTGTCTCTCTCATGTACTAGTATGTGGGTTCTCACATATTTGTATATAATTAACTTTGGTTATTTTCTCTTGTTAATCTGTCTCATGCCGATTTAATAATTAGACTAGCTGGAAGAGCCTAGAAGGGTGGAGGGAAATTTCCTCCTTTGCCACAAAGGCTCAGTTCTTTGCACTTTTCCCTTTCACTTCTCTATCTTATCTACAAATGTAAAGTCCTAATGAATATGTCTAAAGAGAACCTTCACTTACTCTGAAATTCAAATACAGTGTAATTCAGGGTATTCAATGCTCTCCACTCCCCCTCTGCAATCTCATCTGTATCTGTGCAGCCCACTGTAGAACTGAACTCCTAGCTAGGCTTGTTCAAGAAGGCCCCTCGGCTTCTAATTTCAGGTTGGCCTAGTGTGAAACAATTCTAATTATTAAAAAAAAAAAAGGCAATAATTTTCCCCATGCTCCAAATTCCCAACACTGCTTCTGAAATAACTTCTTTGAGAACTTCCTGATTTGGTTGCTTCAGGGTGGAAACAACTGTAGCCTGTATTCTGTGCCTTTGGCCCATTCTGCCTGTGCCTTTGGCTGGGTCACACAGCCGTCGTCGAAGGTTTCCCAGAAGTGGTCCCTCTTCACTATCAAGAGATGATTCAGCATTTCCTTTTTTTAAGGGTCAAATGTTCTCCAGAGACCACACGTTTGCTGTCTCTCAGTTCTAGCATTTGGCTGAAAAGAGAAGCTTGTGAAGGTTGGGGTCGATACCCAAGTTTACTGTTTCTTTCAACGGGGAAGACTCAAGAAGGTGGGAGATTGCTAGTTTATGAGACATTTTGAAAATGGTTTTGAAAATAATGGCTACCCAAAGGAGGGGCTTCATTCCAGAGTCATGGCCTGAGGCTTCCTGGGCAAAGCAGACTCAAGGGACACCTCAGAGAACAACAGTAGTTTCCTGAGACTCTCACCAAGAATGCTATGGGAACTGAGAAAAAACCTTGGAAAGGGGCCCCAAGGAATCTCAAGTGTGACTGCTGAAGGAAACGCCAGCTTTTCTGGCGTAATCTCCATATTTTATAGATGAAAAGAAGGCACAGAGGAGAGAAGACTTGTCAAAGCCCCATGGCTTCTCACCGAGGGCATTTTATATTAGATTTGGCTGCCCTTCATTTATGACACCTCCAAATTCCTTTTCCTTTAAGCTTTTGCTTCAAAATTGTAAAGTTGTATTTATTGCTTTTCCTACTTCATTTACTGTGTTCATTTTTTTAAAATTAATAATCCTCACCAGAGGATATATTTTTACTGATTTTAGAGAGAGCGGGATGAAAGGAGAGGGAGAGGGAGAAACATAGATGTGAGAGAGAAACATTGCTTGGTTGCTTCTGTACGCACCCTGATGGGAGATCAAGCCGGAAACCTGGTATGTGCCCTGATGGGGACCTTGCAGTATATGGGACAATGCACCAACCAACTTAGCCACATTGTCCAGGGCCACTGTGTTAATTTTTATTAATTTTTGTTAAATTTATTGTTATCAGTATTGCAGATGTTCCCCATTTTTCCTGCTTTGCTCCTCTCCACCCAGTCCCGACCCCACCAAGTCCTTCTTCACACAATTGTCTGTGTCCATGGGTTATGCATATATGTTCTTTTGTTAATTTCTTTCTGTCCCCTCCATTACCCTCCCTTCTGAGATCTGTCATTCTATTCCATTCATCCATGTCTCTGGACCTATTTTGTTTGTCAGTTTATTTTGTTCATTAGATTCCACATATAAGTCAGATCATGTGATATTTGTTTTTCTCTGACTGGCTTATTTCACTTAATAATCTCCAGGGTCATCCATGCTGTCTAAAAGGAAGAGAACTCTTTTGTGTGTGTGTGTGTAGTATTCTATGATATAAATGTATCACAGCTTTTTTTATCCACTCATCTACTGTTGGGCACTTGGCTGTCTCCAGATCTTGGTTATTGTAAATAACACTGCTATGAGCATAGGGGGTGCATGTATTCTTTCTGATTGGTGCTTCAGGATATATTTCCAGAAGTGAGGTTGCTGGATCAACTGGCAGTTCTATTTTTAATTTTTAAGCTTTTTAGTTTAATGTTGTCCCATTTGTTGTTTTTTTCTTTGTTTCTCTTGTTAGGAGATGCATTGGTGAAAATACTGCTATGTGAGATGTCTAAAATTACACTGCTTATGTTTTCTTCTAGGCTTTTTATGGTTTTGTGACTTACATTTAAGTCTTTTATCCATTTTGAGTTTATTCTTGTGTGTGGTGTAAATTGATGGTGTTTACTCCATTGTATGCTCTTGTCTCCTTTGTCAAATATTAACTGACCATAATGGTGTGGGTCGATTTCTGGGTCTCTATTCTGTTCCATTGATCTATATGCTTGTTCTTGTGCCAGTACCAGGCTGTTTTGAGTATAGTGGCTTTGTAGTATAACTTTATATATAATATTGTGATCCTTCCAGTTTTGTTCTTCTTTCTCAAGATTGTTGAGGCTACTCAGGGTCTTTTTTGGTTCCATTTAAATTTTTGGAATAGTTGTTCTAGACCTGTGAAATATGCTGTTGGTATTTTAGTAGGGATTTCATTGAATCTGTAGATTGCTTTTGGTGGTATGGACATTTTAATGATGTTAATTCTACCACTCCATGAACATGGTATATGATTCCACTTCTTTTTATCTCCCTCTTTTTCAATGTCCTATAGTTTTCTGAATACAGATCTTTTATCTCCTTGGTTAAGTTTATTCCCAGGTATTTTATTTTTTTGTTGTGATGGTAAATGGAACTTTTTTTTTTTTTTAGTTTCTCTTTCTGAGAGTTCATTAATGAGGTATAAAAGTGCTATCAATTTCTGGATATTAATTTTGTATCCTACTACTTTCCCAAATTCATTTATTAAATCTAACAGTTTTTTGGTGGAGTCTTTAGGGTTGTCTATGTATAATATCATGTCATCTATGAATAATGACAGTTTTACTTAGTCCTTTCCAATTTGGAAACATTTTATTTCTTCTTTTCTGATTGCTATGGCTAGGACTTCCAGTATTGTGTTAAATAAGAGTGGTGAAAATGAACATCCCTCTCTTGTTCCTGATCTTAAGGAAAACACTTTTCGTTTTTGCCCATTGAGTATGATGTTGGCTGTGAGTTTGTCATATATGACCTTTATTATGTTGAGGTATGATCCCTCTATTCCCACTTTGCCGAGAGGTTTTATAAGAAGTGGGTGTTGGCTTTTGTCCAATGCTTTTTCTGTATGTATTGATATGTTCATGTGAACTTTGTCCTTCATTTTGTTTATGTGATATATCATGTTTATTGATTTGTGAATATTGTACCAGCCTTGGTGTCATCGGTAAATTTTAAGATCATTATATGCAGGTCCCTAGTACAAATGAGTAGATAATGAAAAGCAAACCTCCCCTCCCCCTCACTGATGACAGAGAATAGCAGGCACTCTCCGTCCCCTCCTGTCACCTTCCTCCTCCCTTGCTGAGTGCTTGCATGTGACTGTGAACAGCAGTCTAGGAATGTGGCTTCGCCCAGGTGTCTTGTTCCCTGGCCTGGGAGGCGAGCATGTGACCCCCTGGCCTTGCAGCCCGGCCTCAGCCTCCTCCGCGGGTGATGCTGACAGGACTCAGGGGAGCTGGCTTCAGAGCAGAGCTTATTTGGAAATGGGTTTCGGGGCCTGAGACTTTTAAGAGGTTCTGCTCAGCAGCCTGGACGGTAAGAACTTAGGGAAAGCATCCTGCTCCATTAACAGACTGTCACAGGGGCTGCTAGGCATTGGGGTTAGTTCGAGACCAGCGAGGCTCCTTCTGCCTCCTGCCTCTTACCTTCGGCATCACAGTTTCTGCCTCCAGTTGGCAGCATTACTTTAGAGATGGAGGAGCCATCCCTAAAGGTCTGGACCAAGTCTTGGAGGAGTGAGACCCTAAAGAGGTGGGATGGAAAGAAGTCTTATCCTTGACCAGATCTTAATTCTGGGTACTTTGCACACATTCCCTGACTTAAACCTCACAAGCACACCATGGGATGGCTATTATTATCTCCACTGTACAGATGAGGTCAATGAGGCTCAGAGAGGTTAATTCACCTGCCCAGGGTCACACAGCTAGTAAGTTGTTGAGCCACACTCTATTCTGTCTGACTTGATGCCCAGGATCTTAACCAATCAGCAGTTCTGCCCAGGAGCCCTCACCTAGAAGATTTTCTTTAAGTTTCTTGCCCCACCCATTTTGGAAGAAAGCATCCAGAAACACCTTAAAAATGTGGTGAGGCAGGAGCTAGGACCTGCGCCTTTCTTTGAGTTCTTAGTGAAGTTTTACTTGCAGGTAATGCTATACGAAATGAATCAGACCCAGTCTCAGCACTCCCATGGTCATCCCTGGGGAACTAAGGAATTTAGTGCTCTGTGAGATGTGGGTCTGGCATTCAGCTCAGAGACATGAATGAGAGACATGACAGCTAGGCTGACCGATCCTCAGGGTCTCTGGGACTATGTCTTGTCTGTAGTTTGCTGTGTGACTTCAGCAAATCACTGCCTCGCTCTGTGACCTTTAGTTCATGTATAAAAAGGTTTGGATGAAGAGTTTTTCTCCTTAAACCAACATAAAAAATTCCCCCAGTTAATTCCACACTCTATATTATTAAATTCCACATTTAATTTGAGTGATGAGATGGGGTCTGATTAATTTTGAATAGAATTACCTGCAAATAACCTTACCAAGAATTGACTAGCGGAGTGTTGGTTATTATTATTTTTTGTTGTTGATTATTTTTCTTGGTGTAAAGGTTTTTTGATGAACTTGTGCAGGGAGATGGCACAAGCCTGCACTCTGTGTTTGGTTTTCACAGTATGTGTATAAACAAGGCCATTTTTTATTTTTGCACAAACATTCCAAGTCTTTGTCAGTTTTCCCAACAGCTTCAACTCAATCCTTTGATATTCAAATGATCTCTTTTGTGGCACCTATCATGTCATCACCCTTGGATTTTTCTCTTCATTTGCTATCAGCTGTAGCTCTCCCAGATGCTCATTTATCAATGGCTTCCTGTGTCTGATGTGAGTGGTTTGCCGATAAAACTTTCACCCACTTCACAAAAGCCTTTGCCATCTCTTGGCATTTTTGCATGTACATGGCAAAAACAATCGACATAGAGCATAACATTTTTACCTCAGGGGAACCGCCTCCTGTAAAAAGGGAAGTGGGGGCTGACAAAGGAAAGGGGTATGGCAAAGCAAAGGTGGTCAGTTCCCTTAGGGAATACTTTTGTGTAATGATGACTCCCTTCTCTCTGCAACCTCGAAACTGAACCTTGGGGAGTGAATGCTCATAAAACAAGGACTATGGGAAAGCACTCAGCCAAGTAAATTTAGACAGAGAAAAGCAAAGAGGTTTCACCCAGTGTGTCCGCTCTGATTGATTGCTAGTAATTGTCTGAAACATTGTGTTAAGAAGGATCCCGAGGCTCTTTTCAGCCTACTAAGGAAGAGTACCACAACTGATCAGCGATGTCTGATGAGGTGTGTGTGCGGCGGGGGCGATGGGGGAGCAGAGGTGGGGAGGTGGGGGGGGGGATGTTCAAGTAGCAGTCCGTGTGCCGACATACTCTGCACTAAGTACTCAGCAATTGCCAATTTTTCTGTCTTACAATGTGGCAATGCTGGGAGGGATATAAAAATAAAAAATTATGATCATTATTTGGAAGTAGTTCACAGTCTGAGAAAAGATAGAACGAAAACAGCGTTGGTTGAATATTTCTTCTGGTGACACCTGCTTGGCTGCTTGGGCAGCTAGGTGGTCAAAAAGAAGCCTAGTGGTTATTGGGAACAAGCAGGACATTTTTGTTGTGACTATTTTTGTTTCTCTCTGCTCTCATGCAGTTGTGGAATGTAAAACAAGGAAGTGGGATATGGCAGAAATGTTACCTCTTGTTGTAGCTCGCAGGGTCTGTAGTTAGAAAGATTTGAATGAAGGAAAAATACCACATGATCTCACTTATTCATGGATAATTGAGACCATTATGAACTTTTGAACAATAACAGATACAGAGGCAGAGCTGCCTCAAACAGATTGTCAAACTGCAGCGGGAAGGCCGGGGAGGGTTGGGGGGTGGAAAGATTTGGACTTAATTCCAGCTCCAATATTTATTGAATGATAGTGGAAAAGTATATCTGTCTAGATAGACCTCAGTTTCCTTATCTGCAAAAATGGGAATAATAACAGTATGTGCCACATTGGATAGTGATGAGCACTGTGTGTGTGCTCACAGCAATTTCCCCCTTCCTGAAATGGGGGTAGCAAATTTCTCTCCCAGGAAAGTGTATGATGCATAATCAAGGGTAATCATGCAAAGTGCTAGGAGCCTGAGTGCCACCTAACCCATACATCAAAGTCCTTCCCTAAGGTTACCCAGAGGTCACCCAGCCAGAGAGGGAATGTACAAAAGAAGTCAATGCGTCAGTGGGGTTACATCTTAGGATTCTCGGCTCTCTCTCCTTCCTGCTTCTCTCCAGGAATGTAGTCCTTGCTTAAATAATACTCCCATTCCCACTATCTTAAAAGTGAATCAGAAGATACCAGGAAATACAGCATTCTCAGCATGCCTAACCTTTGCTGAACTCTCTTAAATGCTTTTGTTTGAGGCAAAGTTGTTTTAATTCAAATCTATCCTATTTTTCAGTTTCAACCATCTCTATTTCACTCAAGCTAAGGGTGTATTTATTCTCCAGCCTGGGAGAGAGACTTAAGCTCTCTTGGTTTCATTTGCACTAAGAAAACCTAACAACAACATAAAAAAGCAGGGAGGGTGGGGAGAGAGATGGAGGAGATTAGTTATTTTATAGCCTGAGTCAATGGGATGTTTGATTTACCATTTCATTTTGAGATTTTTCTTGTTGACATGAAGAGTTAGATTTTTCAGGGGTGAAAAATCAAATGATCCAGAAGCAAAGGAGAGTGAAGATTAAACAGGTCACAATTAAAAAATATCAATAATGACTTTCGCAGTCAAAAGGGTAGTAAGGTAAATGATATGACCCTTGATTACTCCCCTAACATAAACTGTCGGTGAGTACTCTTGGTAAATCTGGCATATCTGGTTCACTTGTAACTCCATCTTCAAGTCTGGGAGCATTAATTACAGGGCAGAGTAGAAGGAACTGGGAGGGAGAGGGCATCTTTGGTGCATTAAGGCGATGATATCAGGTTTAAGCATCTCCTGGGCTCTTGAGAGACAGACCTGGCATCTACCAGTCCAGGCTCTGCCACTTTCTAGTAGGACATTGAGCCGTAACTCTCAACACTTTAATCTTCTCAACTGCAACACACAGATCATAGTGGCGCTGTTATTAGGCAGGCCAGGCTGCTACGCTTCCACTCAATAATGAGAAATTAATTATACTTAACACTCAGCAGCCTGTAGTTCACTAGCCCCATTTCATTGCCTATGGTAACCTGGTAACCAGAACAGCCAAGATTCCAGCACAGCTTTGAATGAACAAAATCCCTTTTTTGGTTCGGTACATCTCACTGATCTTAGGGGTTGGGGCTGTAGGTACCATGCAGCGTTGCTGCTCAACCAGGCTGAAAGCAAAGTCATTCTCAGGTAGTCCTGGTGCAGCCTCTTTGGAAAAATAAGCAAAAGGAAAATTACTTAGGTGGCATATACTACCAATCGCACTTTTTAGAAGGTGCCATTACCCTTTGTTAATTGGAAAAATAAATATTTTTTCCCTTTTTACATTGCTTAGGCTTCTTGTGCATGATCTATATCCATGTGGGCCTTGGCCTTCTATGCAACATGAGCACGTAGAGGGGGAGGCACCTCTTGGTCTTTTAGTCCTGGAGCTGAAGCCAGCCCCGGGTCCGCGGCCTGTCCATGACCGCACACGCACACTAGCTCGCTGTGGCCTGGGGGCTGCTTTAGTTCTGCTGCCCAGTGAGTGGAAGTGAGCATTGGCTATAATATTACTCCTAGCTCAAAGCCAGCCAGCACTTAGCTACCCAGCCCTCTCAGCTCTTTTTGCCTAACTTGCTCTGAAGCAGTGCTTCTAAAATATTCATGTGCATAAAGCTGCCAGGGATCTTGTTCTCAGGCAGATTCTCATTCAGTAGCTCAGGGTTGGGGTCTGAGATTCTCAGATTGTATCGGGCTCCGGAGGGATGTCAATGCAGGTGCTCCTCAGACCACACTTTGATCGCAATAACAATTTACCAGCTTTTCTGGCCGGGCCAACATGGAACAACTTGATGTCATATAGTTCTAAAAGAGATTTTAAAAAACAATGAGATAATAGACTATAACTATGCACAAAATAGTTTACTGAATAGCTTGCTCTTTAAAAATATTGCCCTCCGCCGAGGCCGGTTTGGCTCAGTGGATAGAGCATCGGCCTGCGGACTGAAGGGTCCCGGGTTCGATTCCGGTCAGGGGCATGTACCTGGGTTACGGGCACATCCCCAGTGGGAGATGTGCAGGAGGCAGCTGATCGATGTTTCTCTCTCATCGATGTTTCTAACTCTCTATCTCTCTCCCTTCTTCTCTGTAAAAAAAATCAATAAAATATATTTAAAAAAAAAATATTGCCCTCCACCCAGCCTTTGAGAATGCATGGAGAGTCAGCTGCCATAACAAGATTTTTTTTTTTTGCTGGATTCGCAGGTGTGTTTTATGTTCTCATGTGCTTATATTAGCTTTTACCTAGTGCTTCATATCTGGGTTTCTCAGAGAGCAGTGCCTCTAATTTGATTTCCACGTTAACCATCGACTGCTGATGGATGGCAAACGAGGGGGACATTCTCCTGTGTGTCTCACAGTGAGCTCTGGCCTTGGCAGCTGTCTGCAGTGGTGAAGTTTGGCTCATGGAACCATGGTTTCCTGGCCAGGGGCTTGGCGTCCCCGCCCCTTCACATGGGGGTGAAAGACTCCATCAGCCTTGACCACTCAGGATCTCCTTACTCACATCTTTCTCTGCCCTGTTGTTTCTGCAAGGCAGTGAGCGTTGGCTACCAGCAGGCACTCTGGAACATTAGCCCCAGTGTTCTTCATATTTTCATTTCCTTCCCAGCAGATCTAAGCAGCGACTGGCTTGCCTTTGCCAGGGAGACATGAACATCCCTTCTGGGGGAGGTATGGGAAGTTCAGTTACTTCAGTCATTTCTTTTAATGGCACCTTCTTCCCTCCCACCCTGGCTGCAAACAGCTGAAAACACAGCAAAAAGTTGGAAGACTCTCAGAGAGAAATCATTGGCAACACTGTTTTTCCAAGTCTTACTTTCTTACTGAGTCTCAAGCCATAATCCAATGCTTTCCTGTCACCATTCTGATGATACCTATTTCATGGAATCGAGAAGGTTTGTGGGCCTCTGTAGTGCATAATGCAGGGATGGAGAACGAAGGTGTGAGGTGATCTCTCCATTTGGTCCTTATGCCCCTGGCACAAAGCTGGGTGCCATGGCAACCACTTGACCTTGGAGATGGGTCTACAAAGGGCTTTCCTGTAAGTCAGCAGCATCACCGATGGACTGCTACAGGGATAAGAAAATTAAAAAAGAGTTTCCTGCCAATCACCAAGACCTGTCACTTCTTCAAAATGCTTTCTGTGTGCAGGCTCTACCCTCCATCTGCACTGACTGTGCCCACCCCACTGCAGTTCTGCCCTCCTCTCCACACCCCCCTCTCTGTGCCTTGCAACCTGCAACCTCTTAGCACACACTTGCAAGAAAAACCTCCCCAACACACTGCTCCCCTGTGCTGTTCCTCCACTTTGAAACTGAAAATAGCTCTGTATTGCCTTGGAGATGGAGCACGAGTTCTTCCCATTTCAAGGAGCTCCGCAGTCTGAGTTCCTGACTGGCAGCCTCACTCCCACCGCTCCACGGCAGGCTCGGGTCAGCCTCGCCATGCTCTCTGCCCCCGTGAGCTGGCCTTTGGGCCTCACTGTGCTCCGTCTGCCCAATTTCATTCTTTGGGGGCTTGAAAAGCCTTTCTCCGTGGCTTGCAGATGGCCTCCTTGCTGTGGCCTCGCATGGCCGTCCCTCTGTGCTGCACATGCCTCTCTGGTGTCTCCTTGTGTGCCCAGCTTCCCTCTTCCTTATAAGGACACTGGTCAGATGGGTTTAGGCCCCACCCCAGTGCAATCACCCCAAAGGCCCTACCTCCAAATAGAGGCACTAGGGGTCAGGGCTTTAACATATGAATTTGGGGAGACCCAACTCCGTCCTTAAGAGGCAGTATCTTTCTCCCTCACTTGCATCCCCAGCACCTGGTCTCATGTCTGGCTCATGGAAAGCAGGACTCCAGGTTTGTTGCTGGAATGCCTGTCCCTGAACGTCCTGACCCTCGCCCCCCATTATTTGAGGCCTGGTCTAGCCCTGCCCAACCTGAGAGGACTCCCAAGCCCTGGCTGACTTTTTCCTCTGACGGTCTCTAGCCTATACTTATGCCCAGGCCCATGGTGCCCACTCTTTCAGGGGTTCAGCCTTGACCCCTTAACTAGAGTGGACGATGGGGCTGGGACTCCCAGGGATCAGGCCCAAAGAAGCTGCTCTGCAACACTCCCTTCTCTTAGGATCTGGCTCCACCACAATGAAAAGTCCTGTTGATGAGCTCCTCGTGGGAGCTCCAGCCGGGTCCAGGGGACGGGCCCACGCACACCCACCGGCCCTGCAGAGCAGGAGCTGGGCGTGTGGCTGCTTTAACGAGTAACCCTCCTTTATCCTGGAGAGTCGCGTGGACCACGATGGGAAACGCCATCTGCTCATCAGCTTCCCCATAATGATGGACATGTTTTCTACCTCGAAGCAGTTCAGATCCGTGTGGATGTTGTTTTGTTTCCAACCATTGTTTTCCTGCCAGCCCTGGGAACACGCCTTCTGAAACATAAAGAGTTAAGGCTGGTTATGTATTGTACACATTCCCCGACAACTTAATTATTGACCCGGCTTGTAAATCATTCATAGCTTTCCAGAGGTATCCATATACTTCTGCTGGCTGGAAACGGGACCCTGGGCTATTTGTGGAATGGAGGTTGGGGTCAGAGAGAGTGTGAAAAATTAAGAATAACAACACTTCCTTTCCTCCCTGAACTTTAATTGCCCTTTTCCATAAAGCCAATGCTTTCTTCCTTTCCTACCTGCGCAGAGAACCGCAGTGAACTGCCAAAACAGCTTTAGTTTCACTCACCATTCTCCCCGCCGCCGGGCCACCCCAAGGAAGGCAGGTGACTTCTATTTCACCTGGGAGTGAAGGAGCGGGGACGGCCCCCTTGCCCAGCGTCCCTCTGGGTTACAGCCAGGGCTTTGGGGAGGTAACATTTTAATAGTTAAAGTAACTCATCTAATCCGATCCCTTCGGGACTGGATAAGAAGCAACGGCTGGCCTGCCAGTGAGGCTTTGGGGCGGATTTGTGGTTAACCGAGGCCGCACACCCAGGAAGCAGCGAGAGGGGG